AAGCTGAAATTAGTCGAGAACGCAGAACGTGTACTTAAACGCAGTCTGTATACGCAGAATTTTGTTGATTACTGGAGCCCTCAGTGTTGCTTACTACACTGTTGCCACTCATCAATGCCTTTTCATAAACTTACCATTTCAACTACAATTTTTTGTGCTATAATAGATTTTAGCTAAATATAAACTACTTAGTTTTCAACAAAAACCTTATTCAATAGTAAATTTCAAATATTTTAAACATATTTTGAGTAGGAACTTATATCTTTTTTACCATCTGTAAAACTGACGAAGTGGCAACCGTCTAAAGAAGGAGAAATCAGCTGACACGGAAAAATCTAAATTCCGCAGATTTCTGCGCTACGGGCTACAACTACAGAAAAATTCTGCGGTGTTAAGTTTTCATTTACATGGCGCTTTGGTAAGACAGATCGTGTCAGCTGACTCGGGTTTACGTACCGGTAGGTTTACGTTCTTGACTAATTTCAGCTTAAATGGATTCCAATATAGAATTGTCAGTGGCAAAAATACATCGACGAAATGTACATCGATATTTTTTGATACATCGGTGGCATATATCGACGCATCGATTTGCACATGATTTTTCCGATTTCCGTCATTTCAATGTTTTGGTCAAACTCAATGCTCTTGTTGAAAAATTGAAATAGCGTTTCGATTATTTATACATTGAATAGACAATTGTCGATGCTTCGAAGCAGAACCGATATTTTCGATGCATCGATGTATTTCCAACATTTCTATTCCGTGGCCATTCTCTAATCTCAAAAAGTAATAGATTTTAAAGATTTCGCAGATCTTGAACGGGAACTACGTATTTAATGCATAATTAAATGCTCCTAAACTCTTGGCAGCAATTTACATATTTGAAATTTCTGTTTCCCTAATTATTTCGCAGAAAAATTTCAATTGTTAAGAAACACGCACAATTGCATTTTCGGGGAGTCTGGCAATTCAATCGTAAGTGCAGCCGGGTGCCGGCAGAAGCGCTAGCAGTGACAAAACTTACCGAACTTTTAGTAGTAAACAAACCGGATAGAAAGCAAATTTTTTAATTCTGGACAATTTGCAATAGGCTAGCTTACAAAAATGGCCTTTTATAATGAAAATCTAGGCGTAAGTAACATAAGTTCGGATTTTGTACATAAATATGTAAAGGAGGCTCCGCATTAACCTCAAATTTCTGTACGCCTCCGGACTATTTTTCCCTTCCAGAATCGTATAATGGAGTTGTTTAACTATCCAATACCGGATCGCTGTTTGGAACTAACACAATTGTTTGAGCGATGCAGCCTGCGTGAGTTACAGGACATATTCCCGACAATTGTACAGTCAGTGTTTGGCATAGGTAGTGGTGGTCTTGGCTGGGGTCTGCGTGCGACCACAAAAGAGAATTCACAAATGTGTTTCGACATACTGCATGATTTTTTTTCGCCGATGGGATCTATGTTACGGTTATGTTATCGACTGCTAAACGATGCTATTAAGTTTGAATTCAGTCTGGATTTACTGCCGGTGAGTGGTCAATATGTTGAGCTAGGTATTTATGGTTATTGATTTTCAAAACTTTTGGGGGAATAGTACGTGCGTGTTGTAGAAAGCTTTATTGGAGTGCCTTGAAAGTTTTTTATTCGGCGCACGCACATATAATAAAGTCAAGTTTATAGTTTATTTCACTTACAGCACAAAGTCAGCGAGATGATACAGTCTGGTCAGTATTCGCTTTTCTACGCCGACCTTGTGAACATTGATCCTTTTCGACGCCAAGTGACATCGCTTCTCCTGAACGCTTTCGATTATTATATGCTTCATTTTGTTATACATGCCACATTTCCACTGCATAAAATGTATCCAGCGGCATTGCAAGTGCACAATGAACGCATGAAAACTGTGTACTTCTTTTTAACAGCAGAATACCTTGGCACTTTTTTGCCGGACAACCCAGATGCGATCGTTTATCCGACCAATATTTGTACGTCGGTAAAGGCACCTCAACCGCTGCAACCAGTACAACCGCTGCAGCCGCAACGTTCGCCAAAATATTTGAAAATACCAACAAATACTAGTTTGTTTCAGACAGACGCCCCATCAACGTCTGCGGCAGCTGCAGCGGCTGTACAGGCCGCACGGAGCTGTGAGTCGCCGCGAACGCATTGCTGGCGTACCGAATCAGTGCTACACTTCTTCGTCGATACATGGCTGCGCTACGACATCGATGAGGCGAGGGTAAGTTAAACTTCGTACAAATAATAATGATCTTTTTAAAATATATTTCTTCTGTAACACTAAGGACCTACCAAGCAGCGAGTTTATACGCGTTGTGCGCATACTTGTCAAGCAAGTGCACACATTCGCTAATTCGATGCACATGGATCATACTCCGATGGCGATACTTCGCAAGCTGGCTCATCCAATGATGAAAACTCGCATATATCCTTTCTTAAAAAGCATTATAGGTCGCTGGCCGCTAGACAGTTCATTGTCAGTGGTTCTAGAATTATGGCTGAGCTATATTCAACCTTGGCGTTATATGTTCGATTTACAAAATACAAACCTCTAGTAAGTAATTGCGATGGGAATTTTCTAATTAATTTATTTAATGTTGTTAATCATTTCAGTGGTGGTGGCAATTTTAACGCAGTGCCTAGTGCTAGTGGTATGATGCCTAGCTCCACTGGAAGTGAAACGTCCGTGAGTCAACGTTTCAGTACATTTATAGCCGAGAATTTGGTAATATACACGCAGGTCTTTGTATATATATTACCACGCTTTGAGCGACTAGATTTCACATCGTTCAGAAATGTTATTATGCTGCACAGATTGGTAAAGGTAAGTAGAAAAACTTAAATAATTAGAAGATATGTAGGTATCTCAAGGAAGAACATGGATAATCAAGTAAGGTAGATTCGCCGAGCTTAAAAAATGTGGGATATGTATATAACATGCTAATTTTATATCAATAAAACAGCTTAAACATTTCACTTTATAGGTTTTTAACCAGCCTAATCTGCCAACAATGTTATGCCAAGCAGAGCAAGCTTACATTTGCCAACTTGGTATTGACTCGCCCAGAAAACATTCAGTTTACTCCAGGTAACAATTATATTACACATCTATAGCTGATTTATAAGCAATTTTACGTTAATAGGCACGGCAAAAGTGAATGGGATGGTATGTTTCATGAAGAAAGCTATACGCCACTTTTTGGTTCAGCTGTGAAATGTGAAATCGAACAAGTAATCAAAACAGTTTGCATATCACGTTTATATGTGCTACAGGAAATCGATAGCATACGACATGATATTGTGAAACAACGTAAGTCGCATGGCTTTTTGCGTAAAATGTTTGCCAGCCTCTTTGAGGACGTCTCACCGGCGGAATTGAAATTACAAGAGATTGGTAAAATACCAGATATACTCGATTTAGCTGTGCGTTCATTAGCCAATATGTTTGATGTAAGTTTATTTTAGTTGAGGTTCAGTTTGATGTGTTGAGTTAACAGGAAAATCTTCTGAATTATAGGTACGTTTGCCGGAAATAACAATGGAACAAGTACACGATCGCAGCAGTCCGCCACTAAATTTTTCTGCATATGATAGTAGTGATTATTTGGATATTGCAAAAGTAACACCAATGCAGGTGAGTGCTCAATATAAAAAAAATTTCGAAATTAATATTTGGGTACCAAGTAAAAAAATAAAAATACAAAATCCTTTAAAAGCAAAATTGACTGCGATCGGATGGTTTACATATTTAACCGACCTCAAAAAAGGGAGAAGGTTTTTTTTTTTGTATATAATAAAGAAAATGTGGTGCCTCAGAGGTGGCCCACACTAATTCGGTTTAGATCCGATGATTGGATCATGAAGAAATTGACGGCAATCTTAGATTTTTAGAGGAGAATTCAAGGTGGTTTGGTTTTTTGCTTAAAAATTACGTGTATCATAAATAAATCCATTGAATACGAATCGCATTTAGATACATACAACCGACTTTCTTAAAGCATGTGCTCTTAACCGCACTGTGTAAAAGATATGCTTCATCAAACATTTTTGCGTTTCCGTGACAGTCTGGTCACCAGAACGACTCAGATTTATGTCTCCCTTACCAGCATTAAACAAAAACTCTTTGGGAAATTTGTTTGCTGTTATAACAACAACATTAAAAATTTTTGCTCGGGAACGCCTTCAGTGGACAGCAATAGTCACTTAATTCAGCGGATAAGGTAAAGCTATTCTGCCAAATTTGCAACAAAGTTATGCACACAATTTTTGAAGAAAGAAATGCGAAGCTGACTATAGTTCTCTGGGAAATCTTACAACAACAATGTGACATTCTCTTCGCCCCATTATCTCCTTTCAGTATTTTATAGATTTTATGTTGTCCCAACGCAATTTTGTTTTTCTTTTACAGATGCAAAGTAATATAGCGAATTTATCAGCGACAATCGATCCCGCCACATTACCTATACAGGATTATGAAGTGAAATTTTTAGTACGTTTTTTGCACAAAATTTCTTGTCGCTTAAATGAAATGGTAAGTAAAATATAAGCAAGTCTAAAACGGTTAAAACTTCTTCATAATTTCTTCTTCTTTTCATATAGTTTGGTGAAGAAATCGAAACTTTGTGGTGTCGTCCAGATTTTGTGGGTAAATTAGCACGTCAATTACTCTACCCGCCCATGACGCAGCAATGGTTTGACAAATCAAGAGGTACACTACATTTAGTTTTAAATATGAAGCATAAATATTTTTTTTTTAATATTAAATACAATACATTAAACAACTAAAACTACACATATAAATATATATACTATATATTAAAATTATTCACTTAATAACACTTATACAATTTAAGGTGTCAGTGAATTGTGTGAGGAACGTCTACCCGCCCGTATCTGCTTGCGTCCGTTGGCTTCTTACAAAGTTCTGGGACTTATCATATTGTCCATGCTTCTCGGCTACTCACTGTGGCATGCGCCTATTTACGGACTACTCATTTTTATACTAATATTTCTTTTATATATAACTTTACTAGCTTTATGTGTGTAATTTGTATATTATGTAGCTATATATAATTTTATTATTGTCCTTATTCTCCTTTATATTTGAAAAATTTATTAACACTTTGTGTGTGTTTAAAATCTAAAGTGAGTGCAAAGAATATTATATCGTCGTTTAAAGTACGAAACCGCGTATCGTCATTCTGCAAAACCACGTAACTGACATTTGCTGCAAAAATTGGATTTGCTCACACAAGCTCTTGGCTCAATCCTTATGCACTCGTCCTAAAATATACTTGCCATTAATGCGATTAATTTAAAAAAAAAGATAATCATTTTGAAATATGAGGGTTTTTACTATCTAGAAAATAATTTATACAACCTCACATACGCGGTTTCGCATTATCGTGATACGCTGTTTTTGCATTTTGTTGATACGCAGTTTTGTACTTTAAACGACGATGTACAGTATTGGTCATATCTATTGCACCACCCCCGCTTTTCAAAGGGATATTGCTTGCCACATATGTTTAATAATTTATTTTTTAAATTTTCAACTAAAATACAGTTTATTCTCCAAACAAAAAAAAACAAGTTTAAAATTTTGTAGAAGACAACAAAAATAAACAATTTTTCACCCAAATTTCATACTTTTTTCTCAGAAGTGTTAGAATTTTTTCGAGTACACGGTTTTATGGCCCCTTCAATTTTAGTCTGATAATGTGCAAGTTTCAACTGGCTAGAAATTACCGTTGATTTTTTTAGAACTTTTTTTGTCGCATTTGCTTCCATATAACGAACAAGCACAATTTATTTTTATATGGAAGAAACACTGAGCACTTTCTGCAAAAAAAAAATCTAAAGAATCAACGGTAATTTTTAGCCACTTGAACCTTGCACATTATTAGAGTAAAATTGAATGGGTTATAAAAATGTGTACTCAAAAAAATTCTAACTCTTCTGAGAAAAAAGTTCGAAATTTGGGTGAAAATGTGTAAAATTTTTTTGTAGTCTTCTACAAAGTTTTAAACTTGGGTTTTATTAGAGAATGATTAAATAAACATGAGCGGCAAACAATATCACTTTGAAAGGGGGGGTGCCATTGTATTGACCGATACTGTATATGTTAGTATATATATTTGTTTGTATTATGTATACTATCTAAGGCTATGCGATGTCACGAAGTTTTATTGCCAATCTTAATGGCTGCGCGGGCACTGTTACCAGTCGTAGTTTACAGTCAATTGGTGTGGCGTTATTGCATTGCAGCTGAAAGTTGCTTATAACCTGAAAAAAAAAAAATACCGAAATGATGTGAAATTTGGTCATAGAGAATTTATAAAAAAGCATTCAAATTGACTTACCGCTGCCAGCAGGCAATGCATTTGCTTCATGGCCATTCTGCGTCCAATGCAAGAACGATTGCCAATGGCAAACGGTAGTGAGCCATGCGCTTGCAGCACCTCCTGTAATTCACCAGTTTCTTCGTTGCGTTGCCAACGTTCGGGCTTCGCTACCTCTGGATCTGGGAAATGTTCCGGCTTACGGCCAGCAGTGTATAAGGAAAGCAGCACTAAGCTCTGCAGTTAAGGAGATATAAGTGTACTATAATTAAGGAGTTCAAGGCACTTGAGAGATATATATACTTAAATAAATCTGAGAGAATATTGGACGAAAGTAAAACTATTTTGGCTGTTTAATTTACGAAAATAATCTAGTGGAAGGGAAAAAACCTTACAAACGAATTAAGTTAGAAGGTAATAATTTTATAGTAAATTTCAAAAAAGCAAGCTAATTGACTGAATATGCATTTTTTTTCATTACAGTATAACAGAAAAAATTAATTTATTTTAATGTTACAGCAGTCCTAAAAACGCATTAAAAGCTTAGCATGCAAGGCTCACCAAAGTAAATTTAAAACTTTCACTACTGCAACTATATACCTACATATTGGAGCAAGAACTATTAACCATTAAACATTCAACTAACATCTCTTCACATGCAGGTATCTAAATACTATTATTTATTTATTTTTTTTTGAATTTCTAATTATTTACTTTACATACATTTTTCTCGATTTGATAGCCGCCAATATTCGCTTCACACGCCATATAGCGTCCAATAAATGGTGCTATCGGATACAAGCGCATTGTCTCCTTAATGAGACCATGTACCAACATATTGCCGCGCCCATCATTGGTAGCCATTTCTTTGGCTAAGCGCTCTTGCATTTCCTGATTCTGGGTAAGTAGATAAAATGCCCATTCAGTAGTGTACGCCGTCTGTGGGAAGAATATTTATTTTTTAAATACATATTTGATAGCAAGAATGTGTGTAGAAAAAATATTCTATTTTTTTTTTTTCTAAATAAGAAACCTCTGTTATATTATGAATCTAGAAAATGAATAATGATTCCTATGTGCGTATGTGTGCATATAACAATGCGAGCAGATAACCAACCAATCGAGTTAAGGGCACATACATTTTAATTTTTTAATTTTGTAAAAAGCTGCAGACTTCGAAAAAATTTTAAACTTTGATTAGTAATATTTTCGCGTAGAAAATTCCTTTCCGGGGTTGTAAAGGTAAAATGTAAACATTTACATAAGTCAGAAGTGGAATGAAAACTATAAATACCCTCCTATAAACACGCCAGAAGGCATTTTTGCCAATCGGAATAAAATCCAAAACTTTAACTCGTATAGAATACGGATCTTCTCCAGGCTAATTATAAAATTGTATAAATATACCGTGACTGAAGCAATCGCTGAAGTGCTGATATGTTTTTTGATATTGATAATGTTTTCCAATATAACATTTTTTTGTTTGTTATTTTTTATAAAAATATTATTCATGTTTTAAACTATATGCAAATTTTAGAAAAAGTCAATAAATTTGCATCAAAATTTCGAACTCCTTTATCTGAATGTTTATAAAATTTTCGGGTATACAGTTTTATTTTAGTTTGTATAGAAAATTGCATTTTTGAAGCAGCTAAGAATTCGCTTTGATTAAAATTGTTTTTTTATCTACCGGTGTTTTGTAAAAAGGCCCTAACACATTTTCTTTTGAAAATCAGGTTTTACAAAGGCCGGTTGACTACTCACTAAAGGTCTAATAGAATTTGAAAACAACTTCTAAATCAATAAATTAGTTTCAGTGTGTATTTAGCCAAGGACTTTGAAGAAATTCCCAAGTTAAGAACTTAGTTTTTATGCAGTTTTGTAACTACTCTATAAAAAAAACAACAATTTTAAATAGGACCTTGCTATACTAAGGTACATAAAACTGCATACCTAAACAATTTTTAAAAATTAAAACTGGAAATTCCGCAATTTGGATGAAAGTTTTTTACAACTTTTCTATATAACACGAACAATATTTTTATAAAAAAATAAATTTTAACTTCAAAAGGTTAGGTTATGTTAGAGTGGCTGCCACCGCGCAGAGGATGGAGGCAAACGCAGGCTGGCTAGGCCCGTTTGGTCACCAATGACGGAGACCATTTGTTTCTTCCCCAAGCATAATAATTTAACCACCGAGTGCGCTTTATATGGCACAAAAATTGAGAATGTACGCTGAGTTCAGGTGGGCTAAGCAATCTAAAAATCGATTATTGAAGAAGTTGTTGTGCATTTTGGTAATGGCGGGATAGTGGCCGAGATGATGGGCTTCATGCATAAAAAGTAAGCTTATGGTCAGACTCAATTTTCGTACTGATGGAGTGAGCTCAAGATCAAGAACTTTTAATCCATGAGCCCCAATGTTCAATGCTCCCCACCTCGTCGCTGCAGCTGCGGAAAAAGTCATTGGTTGGGTATCCCAAACTATTTCCGTGCGTGCAGTTTGCGGTGATTACCCAAACTACTAGCCTGAGAGAAGAGCGGTCGAGTCGAGAGAGGGCTATGTTGTGGCCATATTTGCCAGGCACTAAGGCAGGTGGTTTCCAGAGCGCACCTGGTATTTACCTCCCCGATGAGTTCGGGTTTAGTTTGTGTTTGCAGGAGGTTAGAGATATGCCAACATAGAGGGATATATCCGTCCCTCTCCTCGCCAGCTCGTCGGATATGCAGTTGCATGGAATGTCCGTGTCCAGGAACATTTTGATGCCAGCAGGTTGAGAATCCTTCTGCATTATATGGCTACTTTGGAAGTTGTTACGTTAGATCTTAGAGTTTTAATAGCAGCTTTGCTCTCAGAATATATAGTTAAAGGCCGTTCTGTAGAGGCGGAAGTTATAAGCCACCGAACGGCCTCCATTATGACGTTAGGCTCTGCTTGAAATACGCTACCATAATCCGTTAAGCGGAAACTGAGGTTTAGTGCGAGTTAAGCGGAGTAAATCGACCCTGAGTTCAGGTCTATGGCACCTTCCCATTCGTTCCTCTGGGGTTCTTAGGGATAATTTTTCCCCTAAACAGATTAGAGGAGTGGTATAATCTAGTTTTCGTTGATTGTACAGTAGAGTTTCAAGGACATGCGTGACTGGGTCTGAGGTCTCCTCACGGCTGGATCGTATTTATGGAAGCACTTTAAAAACTTTGGGAACCGCGTTTCAGTCACTGCAACTTTTTTCAATTCTATACATTATGAATTTTGTAGCTCCCGACGAAATTTTCCGGCTAAATTTTTCGTAGAAAGCAGCAAAACTTTTTCATTAAGAAATGGTCTGAGAAGCTAGAATAATGTATTAAATGCAAGAAATTACCGTAACAGATTTTTTTAAAATTTTGCCGGTTGAAAACAATTTTGCAAAGAAAAAGTAAACGTAATAAAAAAGATGCCCCGACCTACCTAGGAAAAGGACGAAAGTCGCAAATTTAAGTCATCGGCAACGGAGAGAGGCTGATCGACTTTGCTGCGGAACGGAACTTGGTACCCTCGACCATGCACCAGCATCGAATAATCCACAAAGCCAGTGTTGGTGTTTCGCGACCAAATAAAGAAAAACCAAATTGTTCGCATTTGCGATAGACGGAAGATACACTTCAACCGTTCTTGACTTGCATTCCATTCGAAGGGCTAACATCGACTCGGATGACTACTTTTTGGTGGCTAACGTCGCCAAGGCATTTAAGAAAATAATAATAAAGAAAAGTGCGTTAGGAGCAGCGCGCCGAAAGTTCGATGCCTACAAGCTGCAGAAAAGTTGCAGCGAATTGAGCGCGGCCTCATCGAGCGATAACGGGAAGAGAGGAGGGAAGAAAGCCGTATTTTCAAGAGGAAGAAAATAATGGCAGCAAGATACGAGTACAAAGAGGTTGAGAAATTTCTTTCTGAATATATGGGTAAGGTTCAGGTGCTGACCGCTCCACTAAATTTATAGTCACCACAAAAAGACAGATCCCTCTGTTTTGGTCAGTTACCACGGCTTCCTTAGTATTACATTCAATTTTCAATACAAGGTTTTGTTTCGCAATTTCTACAAAAGAAATTAATAACAGGTACTGTAGCGCTTATGATCTTTATAATAAAAATCATAATTTAACGGTTAAAACTGGATTTTTAGTTTTCCGATCAATTTTAGGTCGTTATTTTTGGATTTTTATTTTTGCAATCGTACTATGACACTTATTTTAAA